CAAGTCCTGCTCCGTTAGTCAGCAGTTTTCAGCACTTGACTGCTGGCCAGATGGTAATCTACCTAAAAGGGTAACCTCTGTGCTTGGCACATAGGTTTTATAGAGTGCTGTTACATTTGCAATGAAACAAAAAATGTTTTTATGTTATTTATTAGCACTAGCAAAGCATCCACACAAAGATTACAGGTGTCCTAACAAATAGTACACCATGAAAATTACAAATGATAATTGCACTAACTATAAATCAGTATTTTTGCTCTCAAAGAACTACAACTGCAAGAAAACTATCTTCTAAATGTTAACTTAGGTGGGAAGACAGACTGAGAGAAATCTTTTCCACCAATAATTACATTAATTCTGATTTTTTTTTTAATATTTTACTTCAAAACGTCCACTGTTACACATTATTTTAAACTGAGGTTGCCCAGATACTGCACAAGCAAGACAATTACATATTCTTTTTAAGGATCCTCATGTAGCTTTCAGAAATGTAGTAACATTTCTTTAAAATTCTCACTTCTGTGTTTTACTTTTGATCTCTCCCTTAAAACATAAAGTCAACTCTTTATATGACCTATTAAAATATTTTTTTGCTTTCTTTCTTTATGCCTATTTATATTTTATTTTTTAAATAGTGATAAGAAACTTAAACATACAGACACCTTCCTCAGATTTATGAATCCTTTCAGCAATGGACCTCTGGCTAAGAAAATTTTAAAATATATACATGTCCAGAAGAATAATTTCTAATCTCTTTCTTTTAGAAACTAGTTATTATGATGTACTGATACCAACCCAGTCCCCTCCATCTGAACTTCAGATAAAATCAGTTACATTTCTTCCTAATAAACGGTTTCCCTTCAAACACGGTACCCAAGGAACTAAATAGGATATTTCTTAAATGTGCTGCTTCTGCTGCGACATCTGGAAACAAGGGGTGCCCTCTGCTGTGCCGGGAGTGGAGGTTCACCCAAACCTCGGCGCAGCATCCCTGCCCGGCTGGGACCAGCGGCCTGGCCAAGCCAGAGGCTGCACATCTCTGCTTCCGCACACGGACAACTTCCTGACACGCACCTGATGGTTTGTACCCTGTTACTGTCACCTAAAAAGTCCCAATAGAGCAGCTTTACCCCACTGTTGGCACATATTGCTGACTAGCAGCAAAGCTAACACAGTGCTAACTCATAAAAAGACACTTGACACACTTCCCACACGTATTTTAAACATTTTTAGACTATTCAGTGCACAAAAATGTGCATTTTTTCTTAGTTACTTCACTCTTACATTTTCTTTGAACTTTGGCAACTGAGAGAAGAACGCAGCTCAAGACCCATTTCTCTACCTGTATCAACAAAAATCATCACACCCTTCCTAAAACATAAGGTTTCAAATTTTGCTAGGCAGACAGCTTTAATCTGTAAATGAAGGTAACACCTAAAGCATTTACCATCCTTCTAAAAGAACCTTAAACTCATCTTTTGTTGTTGCTGTTGTTGTCCACTTTGTAATACAAAACTTACATATTGTAAAAATGCAGAAGGAAAAAGCAGTAATAATTGAGCTGTCTGCTGTAGACAAAGTTAAATATCATGTGGGTCTGTCAGAATATTTTGCTTACCAAGTTGCCACCTTTTTAAACAGTTTTAATTAACATTTACGTGCCTGCTCTGTAAATTTCACTACTTGCAAAACAGTTACAACAGAACAGTAAACTGAACGTAAAAATTAAAACACAAACCCCTAAAAAATTACCAACAGAGCAAGACACCACCAGGCAATTCTGAAGCAAGGTCAGCAGTACACACTGCTGCTGTGCATGAAACACTTAAAAGAGTTTTAGGTAAAATATCATCATGCTTTTTGAATCATCTTGAACACAAACACATGTCAACATGCCCATTTAACAAGTTTCCTTATATCTGCCTAAAATAAGTCACTATTCCAAAAACGAAAGAAACAGAGCTGGCAGAGGAAATCTGTACAGAAATATTATCAAGCTTCTCCCCAAAAGAAAGAGAAACACTAAGGACCCAAACAGCACCTCTGGCTCTTACAGAGAGAAGCACAGCAAAAGCCAGGCCATGCTTTGGGCCTGTCCATTTGCCAGCTGAGGTAAGGGATGTTGTGGCTCAGGTAAGGGATGAGCAAGACCACACTCCTCCTGCTTGAAAGATCAGATCCTGCTGATGCAGGGCACCCCAGAAAGGGGATGCAGCTACAGCCACTGCACCCTCTTCTGAGGGGAGCCCCAGTAGTAGCAGGGTTGCTCCATCTATGGGAAAGTTTATTTACAAAATAACACACTTCATAGCAATCAAAAATCAGTTAAAAGTGGTGAAAATGTGATTTCAAGGAAACCACACAGAATGAACAGAGTACTCTGCAATTCATATCCCTTTCATTTTCCTCATTTCAATACGCCACTTTCCTCTGCTACTTCATTCTCACCAAAATCCACTCCCTCTTGTGCACACTCTTCAAAGAGCAAACAGTGAATAATCATCAGTGACACCCAGGCTCATGGAACAATAACTGGGCTAAGAACAGCATGAAAGTAGAGTCATGATAATCTTCATCTTCTTGTTCTGCTTTGAGCGTCACTGGGACACTGAAAAGCCAGTTACTTTTCTTCCTCTGGTTCGAGTGAAAAAGTAGTTCAGCAAAGTGAAATTCAGGGCTGTAGTCCAGATATTCCTTTTTCATGCCTAGTGTGATTTCTAGTATTGCATTATTTTATATTTGTACTTGTAATTCCATTTGAAAATGATGTTGCGATTACTATGTAACATTTGAGTTAGTTAAGAACCTTTAAAGGCTTGATGAATAATTATTTACAGACAGAAGAAAAAATGCTTCTAGCTTCTTACTTTAGCAGAAAAAAAGGGGGGAAAAAATCAACTTCTTAAATCCCTAAGGTAGCATTCAGTATCTCTTACAGCTGGATCAGGTGACCCTCTTCCTAAATTCCCCCTGGACACCACCTGAACCAGCATCCTGCGTTAGACAAACCTCTGATCACATAGCCAGCTTTGATAGTGTGGATTTTCAATGGAAAACAGAATGTTACAGATTTTGCAGTAATATGGGATATCAGGTCTTGGATTCAGTGACAGGCATTTCCCTACACTCCCACTACCACACCAGTCCTGCAATAATAATTCACAGCATTAATCTCCATATCCTACTGGGCACACTCCAAGTAATCCCACTCATGTGGGCAAACAGAACTGAAAAAAGTTACAAAAAGATGACTGTCAAGGACAAAGAGCAGCACAGAATCACTTCCACCTAAAGAATAATCAGAGATCGGGTGTTTTCAGCCTGGAAGAGATTTATTGTGATACGTCAGTACAAACACAGCTTTTTTTGTGTTTCCCTACATGTTTACTAACAGGTACAGTCAAAATATGTAGGGAAAATCAGCACAAAAAACCTCCCTGCACTGCTAGAGAATGTGATGGTTATTCACAAATCTTCACATTCATTTTACCACTCAATCTCTCCCAAGTTCCAACCATTCAGAATCTCAAGCCCACAGACCCACAACAGGCATCTGGAGAAAGACCACTTGGATACAACACCAAGGATGAAGGTTGCCACCTATCAAGGCCTCAGCACACTTCCAAGATCGATCCTGTTTGGCAATGGTGAACTAGGTTTTAGACAAATCTTTTACACCCTTCAGGACTCAGCCATTGCTTACAGAGTGGTCCTTTGCTCCAGTGTTTTCCTTAGTGCAGACTCAATAAATAGCAGAACTACAGCTCGCTATCTCTCCATGACTGTTTTCATGGTGGAGGAACAGGAAAACAAACGGCACATAAGATACGGCACACAGACCTGTTGCCCTCCTCCTGTAGTTAAGGAGCAGGGTCCGCTCTTGACGAATCATTCGTGCTCCTGCTTATCAGTGCAGGCCTTGCCAAGCACATCATCTTCAATTTTACTCCTGAGAACAGCTTCACAGAGAACTGTGGGTTTCCACATTATTATACAGCATCCTTTCAACCCCTGTCCTCCTGTTTATTTTGCTGCCTTCACACGCATACAATTCTACAGGTGTTTCACTCATGTGAGTCTTTATATTTCCACTACAAGTCTCTGGAGCACTGGCCTAACAGGTCTTTGATCTGACCCACTACAATCAATTAAAGATTTTCCACATCTTCCCTGCTGGCCTGTAAAAGCCATAATACTGCTTTGCCCACAGGGCTGTTATCTGGCATTCTACACAACCAAAACTACTTGCTCACTTTCTACATTAGATTTTTGTAGGAGTACGTTAAAAAGAAATACGAGCTGTCCATGTTTCTCTGCAGGCTATTTACTAGCCAGGGTGAAGCAGTGAAAAAAGAATCACAGAATTTTTAGGGCTGGAAAGGACCTCTGGAAATCATCTAGTCCAAAGCCCCAACAAGGCAGGGTCACCTGGAGAAGGTTACACCAAAACCTCTCCAGGTGGGTTCTGAATGACTCTTAAGAGGGAGGTTCCATGACCTCCCTGGGCAGCCTGTTCCACTGCTCTGCCACCCTTAATGTGGCACATACTCCTACATAACTTCTTCTAACATAACTTCTTCTAACATAACATACTTCTAACATACTCCTACAAAAAGTTCTTCCTCATCTTGAGGTGAAACGTTTTGTGGTTCAGTTTATGGTCACTGCTCCTCGTTCTGTCTCTGGATACCACTGAATAGAGTCTGGCATCATCCTCTTCGCAGCTGTCTTTGAGATATTTATATGTACTGACAGGATCCCCTCTCAGTATACTCTTCTCCAGACTAAACACGCTCAGCTCCCGCAGTCTCTCCTCATAAGAGATGCTCCAGACCCCTCATCATTTTTGTGGCTCTCCACTGGACCCTCTCCAGCAGCTCCTTGTTTTCCTTGAACTGTGGAGACCAAACCTAAACAAACACAATGCTCCACATGTGGCCTCACCAGGGCCGACTACAGGACGCTGCCTCGGCCCGACCCGCGCCGCGCCGCGCCCTCACCTGCTGGGGACCAGAGCCCGCGGTGCCGCTGCCCGGGCGCTGCTCCGTGCTCTGCGGGGGGATCCCGGCGGCGGCCGGCGCGGCCCCGCTGTCCCCACGGGCCGGGGGCAGCGCCGCCCCACACGGCCGAGCCCCAGCCCGGGCCGCGACCCGCCACCAGCACCGCGCCGCCATCACTGCCGGGCGGGGCCGCCCCCCGCGCAGGCGCGGCGCGAGCGGCTGAAGCGGGCAGCGCCATCTTGGATGAGGGCCGCGCGAGCCGCGCTAGGAGCGGCGGCGGGAGGTGGGGAGAGGGTCGGGAACTGCGCCGGGAGAGGCTGGGGATGGATGTTGGGACGAATTTCTTCACGAAGAGGGTGGCTAGACATGGGAACTGGCTGTCCAGGGAGATGGTAGAGTCACCGTCCCTGGAGGTGATTAAGGAAAGACTGGACGTAGGACTTCACAGAATCACAGGACAAGTTGGAAGGGACCCACAAAGATCACGGAGTTCAACTCCTGGCCCTGCATAGGACCAACCCCAACAGTCACACCATGTGCCTGAGAGTATTGTCCCAATGCTTCTTGAAGTCTGTCAGGCTTGGTGCTGTGACCTCTGGGGAGTCTTACAGTGCCCAACCACTCTGGGCGAAGAACCTTCTCACATCCAACCTAAACCTCCCCTGACGCCACCTCAGGCCATTCCCTCGGGTACCCCACTTGGTGCCATGGTCTAACTGCCTCAGTGGTAATCCGTCACAGGTCTTTTCCCACCTCACTGATTGCGTCATAACACACCACCCCTGCAGTAAAAGGACTTGGGGCAGAGAGAGTGTGGGCAGAGGAAGACACACCTGAAGCTCATGTGAGGCTGCAGCTGCAAAGCTTCACTGTAATACTGTATTACAGTAAAATAATGCTGCCATTTGGTCATTAAAAAAAAAAAAATTTCCTTGAAAAACAGAGTCAACTCCAAACTAGATGACCCTTCTCTTCCTCAGATAGATAAATAAAAATCTCATACAACAATAGGGATCATGTTCCAGAAGGACCTGCCCCACACAGTACTGACCCAACAGAGGAAGAGCAACACTCTGCCTGTACCATTCAATTCTCCTTTGCTTTGCTAAAGTGGAGCTGTCGAAGGCTGAGGGTACATCTCAACCCATTTTCTGAACTTCACAATGTAATCAGGGCAGTTTAATGTAGTGGCAGAGCACTGGAACAAGCTGCCCAGGGAGGTAAAGGATTCTCCCTCTCTGGTGACATTCAAAACCCGCCTGGACATTTGTGTGACCTGTGTAACCTAAGTGACCCTGCCTGGGCAAGGGGGTTGGACCTCCAGCAGTCCCTTCCAACCCCTCACAAGTCTGTGATTCTGTAATTTCATGTAAGCCACTAGAAGGCAATCTAAGCTTAGTCTTCTCTAGAAATGCCAAGCTCAGCCACGCAGATTTCCCCCTCAGTACAGTAGTATATATCAGCGCTGCTTTCAAACCAGACTCTGAGGACTGTTTCAAGTACAAAGAAAATTTCTTCCATATTCACGTGACAATACATTCCTCAGAGACAGTTTTTTATTAAGCTTCTCACACGTGATTAAACATATATTCTACATCTGACATGCTAGCAAGGTTGTCAGGAGCCAACTTTTTTTCTTCCAGACATCTGTGGTGGTTGAAGTTTCATGGATTTCACACAAATGTTGCAAAACTTGTTTCCAGTTCTAAGCGCAGTGATAAAAAGTTCTAACCATACCGATACCATGTGCCAGAAACATACAAAACACAAGAAATTTGAGGAGTACAGCAGATAAAACAACATGTAGGAGGACAGATCTCATAAGAGAGCTATGCTGAACGATGACATTGTGCACCTCTCAAAACAGATTTCTGGGGTCACGAACAGGGACAGGGACGCTGCTAGAGGTACAGGCCTTTAACACGTAAAAACAGTAAGATGGTGTAGCAGATGTTTTCAAGGGTCAGCCTAAAAGGGAAGAAATGTTAAGAGTTTAGGAGCAATGCTCTTGATGCCTAAAAAAGAACCAGTGCTGTGCTCAGGCTCATTCTTCCAGTCCATGCTTTGTTAGCGTGAATGTGACACCACCACATGTGAGTGAAGATGAATCTATTCAGAACTGGTCAAACCTTCATAAGAGTGTTACCATACCACACTGACATCCTGTGCAAAAACAAGACTGAAAATGTTATGGGGACTGAACCAAACCAGCACTTTGAGGCATCTTGCTTCCACTGGCATTGGTCAGAAGTTTCCTATGTGGACAAAGCACAGATAAATGGGTAAATCTTAGATGTTCTGTATTACCCATCCACATCTGCTGCATGAGGAACATGCTCACAAGACAGTACATTCCTACCCATGTGTGATCCTGCTACAACTCGTGTAAAGCCTGCTGAAATGGAAGTCCTTTCTTTAGCTAGGAGTGATCCTTCCTCCTAGTCCAGTGTCCCTTGCAGGCAACACTCAACTGAAATAATCACAAGGGACCGAAGTAACAAGCTTCAGTTTGGCAGCAGCAGTAGATTCATAATGATTAAGTTGAGCAGTAGTTACAGACTGAAAAGAAATTATGTATCCACGGTATCTGTACAGTATAATTAACTTCTCAATAGAGTTGATTTTTTTCATTGCTGTATTTTGAAGGTTGCCTTTAAATTACAGATAAGTCCTTTAAATGCTTGAAAGGCATAAAAATTCCCCTTCCCACACAAAACCCCAAACAATGTATTTTAGTTTCAAAAATATTTTGAACCCACAAACAAGCCTGGTATCAGTTAATCTGGTAAAACAACTACGTGCTACATAAAAGCACATCTGGTGGAAGGAGCGCAGAGAATGTTACAAGTGTGCTTGGTTTTTGCTTGCAGCATCTGGCAGTGGGTAGCAGGACAGGCAGGAATCTCAGTGGGTCTCCTCCTCTGTCTGTTCTGCAATAGTTTCTGTGGCACTGGCATTGGCAGCAGAGTTGAGAACTTCTCCAAAGTCTCCCCCGGCAGGTTTGCTTCCTCCAACTTTAGACTGTACAGAGAGAGCCCCAACATAAAATAGTAGTTACTTGGCACAACAGAGATGCTTAAATGGTACAAAACCAGTACCTCTGCATTAGTAAGTTTAGTAACTCTCTTCAGCACAGCAGCTTTTCCAGGACTGACCAACCTCCACAATACTCTGAATACAAGTCTTCACATATGCGGCAGGAAATACTCACCAGCAAATTAGCACAGCAGTCTCCCTTTGTCTTTGAGATACACAACATAGCCCTTATATACAAGGGGCTGATTCCAGAGTCCAGAGGTTCACATGCCCTCAAGTTACAAATGGATACAGACACGCAGCCTTTCAAGCCATTTAGGATTCAGAGTTAAAACTTGCTTCTGCATTGCTCAAGATAGAACTTTGAGCAGTTTTATGCCTCAACAGTAATTCCTGAGATCCTTATGCAGCAGAGCAACTATCTTACTTTCTCCAGGTAACAAGTTTACCTTTTCACTTCCCACACCTGTGGGACTGCAGGGGTGTTAATGCCAACTGGTTGCAAGAAGAATCTGTAGTTCCCCATGCCATCACCTGCACGCTTCTCATCCAACCCATAAGTGTGCCCATGAGAAAAGTCAAACCTGGTTCCAGTTACATGTATTAGTTATTTCTGAAGTGAGCTTTTACCTGGAGAAGCTATTAATGGTTGTTTCTGGAACTTGAGGTTTCTGTGAGTACATTTTAAATTAAGGTGTCTTTTATGCCAGAAATGGGAGAAGCTTCCCAAGCTATTCTCCTACATGGGATACTAGTCCCTAGAAAGGTACAAAATAAAAGCCTAGAGCATTGTGGGTACCTAATACTAGGTATGCTATACTAGCTGTCTGTGCAGGTTAGCTGCCTGATAGTTCTTCCAGTTAGAAGTATCCTCCTGTAAGAGGTGCAGGAAGCCCATTTTTTAATTTGCAAATCATTAGGCAGAGAAATCATTTCCACTTAAGTTCTTCAGTCTTTTCTCCACATCCACAGCTCCACAATCACCAAGGTGTTTTAGTAATGCTTACCTTAAAGTTCTCAACTTTTTCCTCAAAGGACTTGAAAGTAGGAGAATTTCTAGGAAAACAAAAAAAGGAACCACAGAATTTGAACCATATCTGGTTAGTCTATAAATATCAGAAAACAAGCAGACAGTTGCTTTTTCCCAATGGGAACATGAAATTCATTTGTTTGGGGCTCTTTCCTTGTTTAAGGGTAGCCCAAAAATAGTTTAGCTCTGAATCTCCCCAAGTACCACAAAACTAAAACTAAAACACATTCAAGTTGAAGGCTCACTTTTATCTTTGGCAACTAACGCTGTCAGGCCCAGCAATAGGATTCTTCATATCAACATGGGAGAGAGAACTAGTAAGTATTTTAGGTTTAGCTTATAATTACCAGTGATTTCAAACAGGTTTCTGGCTTAAACGATTTCTTCAGAAAAGTTTAGCCATTGATTCTGGCAGGCCTAGTACATTACTGCTGAAGCAAGCTCAGCAGAGTTTTTCCACTTTTTATAGGAAAACTAGTTCAGTTTAATTGGCTACGTGTTCAGTTAATAAAACATGGTTCACAGTGGCATTTTCTTCTAACATGTTAAATTTAAGGGAGACTCCCCCTTGTCTTTAAGTGCCAGAGGCAGCTGTAATTACAAATGGTAGGTTTTGCATATGAAGAGCAGGACAGCTTGGGATTTCCAACGCTGAGGGCCAGTGTATTATCCATTAGGGTCAGAAGAGTGGCTTAATGTTCCGACTAGCTGCCACTGCCAAGTGCAGGTTGCCACTGCCACAGCAGGTTGTACACTTTTTCTGCCTTTATGCAGGATGGACATTGCTCACCTTCAGTGCCCCAGGACTATGGATTCATAACAGACATAAAAAGTCATTATATAAATATTAAAGACAAAGATTTTTTTCAAAAGATGTCTGAAGCTTCCCTTCTCCCTTTGCTTGGTATTTGTGTAGGTCACCACACTTAGCAGCACTCTCTCACGTGGGAAAGCACAAAGTGACACATATATCAAACCAGACTCTCAGGAGATAGAGGGACACAGTGCCAAGAAAGGGAAGAGAAAAGGCAAGCACCTCAAGTCACCAAGAGACTTTTTGTGAAACCACAGTATTTTTTTTTACTCATTTTCATTCTTCAAAAACATACATGCTACTGCCTTTTAAACTTGGAATCACTTAGTAGCATTACATTTTTAACATAATTTTTCAGGGAAAAGTTGCTATAGTTTTCCTAAACAGCGGGGAAGTGCGCTTGGTCGCATTCCCTATGTTGATAGCCACCACCATTAAATAGAAATAAAACAGACTTTATCCTATATGTTAGTATGGGAAATCCATTACAAAGCTGGGTGGATTTTTTGGTTTTGTTTTAAACCTATGTTAGTTGATTTAAGTTTGATTTGACTTAATTCTACACATGAAAATAAATAAACACAACAGCTGGATTATACATACATTACCTCATAATAGGCATACTAATTGAATGCTGTATGGAGCGTATACTAAGTGCCAGCATTAAGAAAAGAGAAAGCAAGAAATTAGTTTAAGTATTACATTGAGAGGAAATTTGCTTAGAGAGTTGACTTCTAGATACTATCTTTGGCAAACAGCCAAACAGTCTTATACAGTCCTATACAGTAACTGCTTGGGTTTGCTTTTTTAGATTGCTTAGCCATGCACACACACAAGTACACCAGAGCAAAAGCTGCAACAATCTTTTTCTCTTTTAGAGAGATTCAAGTGCCATGCTTGTTAGTACTTATTCTGCTTAGCTGCAACAGTCTGTCTACTCATTAGGTTTCTCAAGCAACGAGAGTCAATGAGAGTCATGCTGCATTTACAGTCTGATATCAAGTAGAAAGTGAACACTCAAGAGTCTGATCAGTCAACTCACCTTCCTACCAAAAAGAATTATCCCTACATTCAGAAAGCCTGCATTTCAATTCACTGTAAGATTTCCACACTCATCAACACAAATTATCTACTCATCAATACACATTATCTAGCAAGAGCAGTCACATCAATCTGTATTCAAGGTCAGATTTATGCTGGGGGCAGGGAGGAAGTCCTAGATCTGTGTTCTGAAATTCATGGAGGATTTGTGTAACCAGCCAGTGTTTCTATATAGTTACTGTTTGTTTAGTAAGAACATAGAAGGTGACCAGATATAGATTAAGGAGCTCCAAAATAACCTTAAGACCACCTGGAATCCAATTTAGTTCCATGTATAAAATCCCTCTTTACTGTTGATGCAAACAAGTTTTATACATTAAATGTTTCTTATCAAATACCACAACAGTAACTTAAAATTATTAAAACTGATGATCACGGATGTTCATAACTATAGTTGGAATGTCAAATTTTGTCTGGGCTTTATGATGTCCTTCAAGAGAATATTTTCCAGGCAATTGCTGGGGTAGAAGGGGAGGGAAGGGAAATAACTCTTCTCAACATGATGTACCTCCAAACTTTCAGTTAGTATCTCAGCACAATGAAAGATACATTCACAGAAGCAAAAAAGTTCTATGTTCCTTGACAAATGAGTTTTAAGGGATTCTTTCTGGAGGCTCATCAGTAAAATACAGTGATACAGGCAAACTACGCAAGTGAAAAGTTCCCTTAAGGTTAGGAACCCTTAGGGCAGATGCACAACTATAGATTGATTTGTACATACAGTGTACTGGGAATCAGATACGCAAAGGCCAGATGCTTCCCTGGCACACGTCAGTAAAGCACAGCAACATTTCATCCATTTCCCCAACCCCACTTCTGCTGTGTTCCATCTTACGCAAGGACTGATTTCCACAGGCTTTTCCAGAACACAGAGAAGCTGATTGTCTTCTGGACTGTAATTTATATTCCTCGCTGAGACGTGGACTACTACACGTTCTGCCTTGCTACGTGACAGGCTTTATTACAGAACTACACTGACACTAACTAGTTCCAGTCATGCTCAGCCATTTCCCATCAACCTGCAAGAAGCTTAAGGCTAAAGAGGGTGAAATACATGTATTTACAAACTGTAGACCTGCTCACACTGAAAAACAACAACCTATAGTGTACTGCAGATCTTTTAACAGGTTCTACAGAAGTTTAACTTAATATCAGAGATCGTTTAATAGAATAAGTATTCATACACTCATGAAGGATTTACTTGCTGCTGTACAACACACATATACACTCAGTATCCATTTGATATGACACCATAAGATAGTTTTATTACAATGATCTGGTTTGCAAGAGAACTGGATTAGACAAATGCAGTTGATCTTTTTTTTAACATCACCTGTTCTTCAAGTAGTGCAAAGAAGCACAATTAATCCTTGAAAGGCTTTATAAAGAAGAGAACCTGCATTCTTTCCCCAAATGACAGAATTCCATATCAAAGCACTCACTCAACCAGTCCAAGCTGGGCAGTTTGAAAAACTCGTTTTACAGTGATCAGAAGCAAACCCCTCACTTAGAAAAGCAGTTAATAAAAAAGACACAGTTAAGTTGCTCACCAGCCTTCCACATATTTTGTATTGATTTAAAAGCTTTCTTATCCTTTACATGATTATTTTATAAAGCTACAATATTGCCTCACATTTTGATAAGGCACAAGGACCTATGCCAGAGTCCCTGCCTAGAAACATGGTCTCAAGAGTGCATACACACTATTTGCCTTTGTTAGTAGTTAAGTTTCCAGCTGATACGCTGATAAATGATGATATTTAGGAATCCATGATCATATATCAGACTTTCACAGCAAGCAAAGAAAGTTATTCTGCAATCTCAGAACAAGGCAAAGATGGACTTGTGCTCCATAATACAGATACAGTGCAGGAGGAGCCAAGTGCAAACTCGTGATTGCTCAGAAGTTTGAAGAGCACTGCATCTTGGTACTGCTGTTGTTTTGCACATAAAACTGATGTTGCCTGCACAAGGAAGGTTAGTTCATCACAACTTCAAGACATTCCCATAAAGGTATTAAGAAAAACCTAAGAAGGAACAAAGTTCATGTCAGCATAACAAAGAGGAGAGGAAACAAGCAAAAAAAAAAAGGAAGCAATAATGCATTGACATTGCATTATCAGTCCTCCCTTCCCCTCCATTTCAGTACTTTCCAAGTTCACAGGTCCACCATCTGCCTCACTCCCTTCTCTAACTCCCTGCGAAATCACTTTGCAGTGCAAGAATGAAGACCTGCATGTGATTTTTGGTGCGTGGAACACACAGAAATAGACCAACACAGAAGAAAGCACACCATTAAAGTTGAGAAGTCCCTCAACTAAAATTATACAAGGAAAGTGAAGCCACGATGAAGCTGCCACTTAAGAGTTTAAGAATAAAAATGCACTTGCATATTCAGTATTAGTTCAACTTAAGTATCAGGCCCATCAATTCTCATTTCTAGGAAAGAATTCAGACAGCTAAAACTTTCTGAAGTTCAGAGTTGTGTAGTTTTAAACGGAGACACGACCTGAGTAGTCACATAACCCTGGGACCTGAATTCACTGGTTGAATCCCAGATGAATTTGGTTCTCATGAAAACCAAAAGAACTCAAAGGTTTTTAATCTCTTCCTTAAGTGCAACTAATATCTTGAACAGCACTAATGTTTCACAATTTTGTTTTATTTTTAAAACCCCACTTTCCTGAATTTGTAACAGTACCTTGAATTTCCACTGCTGTGATTCTCCCCAGGAAGCACACCAGTGGTGTGGACTCCTCTACCACTGTTACATTCCCTTCCAGTGGCCCAGTTTCTGATAAGGAGTACTCAACACCCACAGAGCTACTAACTAGAGTAACTAGGACACTCTTCTTTTGAGGTATTAAACTCCTGAAGACAGAAGACAGCTCTGAGTCTGTGCTTGTCCTTGTCCCATGCAATAGTCTAATACTAATAGAACACCATAGCCTTAAGGAAGGTGAATGAACCCTGTAAAGTGAGAAGCTGAGCTCTGCATCCCAAAGGCAGTACAGAGACATCTTCCAGGCTCCCGATACCTCACTGATGTTAACAGGGACAAATTTCAGAGCAGCTGCTCTTGTTATATCTGAGCAAATTGAGCTCACTTCAGAGACCACCCTGTGCCTCCATCCATCTTGCCCCCAGGGGCTATAGCTCCTAGTTAGTATTCTAGTATCCCTAGTCTTTATAGAGATCCTAGTGCTGTCTTTAGCTACTTAGTGCAAGAGTATAGAAAAGATGAAGCCAGACTCAGGCGTGCATAGACAGATGAAAGGCAATGGACAGAAGTTGCTACACAGGAATTTTAACTACTGAAAACATTGAATATCTGCTTAGACTAAGCAGATAAAAGGCAATGCAGACAAGGTAACTAAAAGACTGGAGCTGCTAAAGTAATTAACTCAAGGACTGTTCACTGGACAAACTATGAAGAGGGAGTGTATAACCTAGTTTACATTTAGATTCCAGTAATTTTGTTAGAGTCACAATGCTAACCAGATATTGCAATAGACACAAAAAGGGGAAATTTCTACTCTGTAACGGCACAAACATGGTACAGACAAAGAAGGAGGAATCCTGCATGCCATTGACCTCAACACCATATTCTGTCTCTTGACAAAAAAACCTTGCAGAATCATATTAGCGGGTTCCTTTCTTACAAGGAAGAGAGACTAATTGATTATGAAGCATACTCAAGATTTTATGTTCTGTGGTAGTTGCCAGGTGAACATGAAGAAACATCTTCCCTGATGTTAAAAGAGCTTCGGTTTTACATTAACTAACACTGGAGAAAAGAAGAAATTACCTTTTACAGACAAAACTTTTAATTAAAAGATTTTAATGGAGACAGTCTGACTACATGCTTAGTTTCAGAAACAATTCTTGCGCCCACCTTACCTAAAGGAATGTGAAAATGCCTGTAGTCTGCACAATGCCAGAGTAAGCATTAAAGAAAGAAAGGAAGTTCTGATAAATCTGAAGAAAAATATGTAACTGTGTAGCTGCACCTCAAAGTGTTTTCTCACTAGACTTCAAAAAGCAAGAGGTTAATGGCAGCACTTTAAAATAGATGGCTGATTTTATTACACTGCTTCCAATGCAGCAATATTCTGTTAGAATGTGTGAATTTTTATTTGCCCAATAATTGAAAAATAAGTTTAACCCACCATTCATGCCCAATAATTGAAAAATAAGTTTAACCCATTATTCACAACAAATTACATGCAAAGATGAATAACTGTCTATGCTCCAGTAGTAAAAACTACATAATCAAAGAATTGTAAGCTAAGCATCTGAATGTAGTGCATCCAGCAGGAGTTGTGCATGCAGCTCTCAACAGTGCTAAAAATGACCACAGGACTTTCCTAATGTGCATGAAGGGTTGGCATTTGTGTCATTTGACACAAAGTCAAAATATGTTGCATGCCAACAATAGCTAATTGAAAAGTGCTGATAATCTCTTAAAAATGTAATAAAATCAAGCCACTTCTATGAGGCAGAACGGCTTCCAAAAAAATAAAACACATCGGGAAGGAATGCACACACAAGACAAAACAAGAAAAACAACAAACAAAACACCCAAACAACAAACCACAAACCGTCAAACCACAAACAGTTAAAGATACTAGTTGTCTAAATATAGCATTCACAAGAGAATCCACTCTGAGAAAGTCAGAGAAGAGAAATGACAGTGCTATGTGCATCAGAGAGGCAGACAGAAACACTGCTACCTGCAATCACACCAGAAAAGTAAGAGCAGTAGTGGAGGTTGTAGCATACATTGTTTCTCTCACATATATAAAGCACACACCACAGAACTCTTCTGCATCAGTGAGGACGTACAAACAGATTTTGCAGCAAGTCTCTTAGCTCTCCTAAAACAGATGCTGAGGGCTCTTGATAGATTAACTTTTAGAAGTACTAGGTATGTTAACAGCATAAATTTATTTCAGTGATTACCTGCTTAAATCAAAATTGCAACCTCTTGCAAAAAGCTAAAGAAACCTACCTGACGTCTTCAAACTTCTTGGTTATGACTGAACCAACAGAAGAAAAAGCAGCAGAAGCCTTCTGACCAGCCTGAGACAGGGTTTCTGATGTTCTCTTATACCTGTGCTCAAACAAAATTTAGGTTTCAGTTATTTTAATAGAACACATAAGGAATCTTTCAGTGTATGTACATTTGTATCAAATGCAGACGTATACTTCAGTTTTGGGGTCTAATGGACAACCTGCTTAAGAGACTGCAGTCCCTTCTAGTTACAGCATCTCTGCCACCACTGACTTGAGGTTCACCAACATGAACCTACCAGAATAGACTCTATCTGCTATTGTAGGACTTGCCAAAAAATAAAATAAATTCACGAAAAAAAAACACACCAAAAATTAAACAAACAAACAAACAAAAAACAAACTCAAGAGAAAATAAGACTCAAGAAAACAACACCATGCACACACACTGGAAAAGGTCTTGTTTTTATGCCAAGTGTCTAAATTCTTGTACCAAGCAGTTCTGTCAATAAACTTCAGCATAAAAACTTTGAGGTACATCCTGTTACATTCTATGCATTAACTGCAGAAGCCAGCTCACTCTAGACTTTAGGCTAACAGTTGTGTTTGGCAAGAACAGTAACTGTGACAGTGGACTCTTTCTGCATGAGCTCAGTTTACAACAATTTCTCAGGGTGGAAAAGGAAGGGTTCTGTTGGATTCAGGACACCTTGGTATCTCAATAGATCTGTCAGTCTCTCAGATCTCTCAAACAAAAAAAGTGTCTTAGAATAGCCTGCATTACAGTCATTCTTCCTTTGCATGAGATACGACCAGCAGTGTTCCTTCTTAAAAAAAAAAAAAAAGTTATGTTGATTTATCCAGCTAAGTTTTAGTGCAACTTTGTGTTATCTACACGCACCTCATTTCACAAGAACAGAGGGTTTAGACATGATACAAAAACTAAACAGTTTTCACCTCAACAGCCTACACAATCATCATGAACTGGTACATACGCCGTGGTTGATGTAACATCTTGCCAGCTTTTGGTAATATTCTGCCTTAGTTCCTGTAGGGAGTTAATTCCCAGCTTTCTCTTGATCTCTGCTAGATGCTTCTCTTTGGCAGCTAGCACTTGTGAGAGTGTCTGGATTTCTTCTTCCACCTGTGACAGCAGAGTTGATAAGAAGTTAACAAGCAATATACCCAGCCATTTCACTATGCATTTCTTAAAACATCTATTAGACATCAGTACCAGGAGGGCTAACAGGTTTTTAACATTGCCTCAGTCCTTTCTAAATACTAAAAGGGAAATCCAACATAGCCTACAATAAGAGCTAGTGAGAAAGTAATTTATCTGCAGCTGGCTGTTACTGGAATATGTACACTGTTTACTAAAAGACTGTATACTTAGAAATCATTACCTATGATATGTGAAGCTTGAAAATTAGTCAAACCTGGGACAATCGCCAAGCCTGTATTCTACTTCCACGTCAGAAGAGATACCAGTGTGTGACCAGTGTTAGGAAGCTCAGAGCATGTCTGATTCATGCACAAGTTTCATATCCTTGCTCGAACAGAAAGGTTCTTTTATGGTTTAAGACAGCAACTGAGACTGGATCCAGCACAGGAGTGCCTTCCCCAGATCAGGGGTGGAAATGGTGGCAGACTGAGCAGTTAAAACCCACACAAACACATAACAACAAATACGCAGCAGCTGCTCTGCAACTAGAACTGTATTGTTCCCTCTTTACTCCGATGGTCACATACACCTCTTCCAGAAGCATGATCAGCTGTCAAAAGTTTTACTATGCTATCCTGTGAGCTGTAAAGGTGTGACAGAGGCACTAAGGCTGTATGTGCAAAAGCAAGGGCTCCAACACTACTTTCTCATCCAGACAGGATCACCTCACTTTAGAGTACCAGGCTGCCCACTCATTTAAGCTCCTTTGAGGAAATACCAGTATTTTTGATGCAACTTTTTTTTTTACACATCTGTCTGAAGTCCAGTGACACATCCCAGCAGGACCAGACTACCCTCGCAATCTTTGGCATGAAATGATAGTCAGGACTACCAAATACAAGACTGTATTAAATGTGCTTATTTCACAGCTAACCTTTGTTTGCCAACCTCAGGCTTAAGTCAGTGTCTTTTATAATGTCCTAAAGTCACACAGAGCTACTGAAAAAAAAGACTGGCAGCCCAAAAAAGCTTAACTTTGACACTTTTTGACAACATTTGAAATGCATGTTTCAGGCTTGAATAATTGACTATCCTTCAGAGTGCTACTTTAACCTGCTCTTAAAAAAATTCTGCCATGGACAGAAACAGTAATGTGGTTAGACATTAGCAAAACACTGCCTACATGGCAAAGCATTCTTCATGAAAGGAACAGCTTTAATTACTCCACGACAGTTGAGACAATACTTGGATTTTGGCTCCCAAACACGTTCTCTTTGACTGCTTATTTACCCACTTCTCACTTGAGGGAAACAAAGGGTCAGATATTTATGCATCTTGGTTTAAGATTTGTATGCTCAGCACTTCCAGCTTAATTCCCCCTCGCTAAAATTGGCTGTTCTTTTCTCTTTGACACCTTCCCTTTCCCTCCCCACAATACAAAGGAGTGTCTTACAGGGCTTTAGACACTCACAGAATAACTATGCAAAGCATTAACTGTATATTCAAAGGCAGCATTATACCAGATTTTCATTCTCAAAATAAGTTTAAGAGCTATTTGCAGAAGAATTACCTTGGCAAGCTCTTTTCTTAGCTCGTCCTGTTCTTCTTCTGAGAGTGTTTCTGCCATACTGACTGTAGCAGCAGCATCCTCTCCAACCTCAGGTATAGAGTCACTTCTCAGCAGCCCTTGAGGTGAATAAAGCATTTAAAGTCATATTGCCATGTCTGACAAATGGCAGCTAATGTTAGCATACCACCCTTTTGTGTCAGTGAACAAAGAAAACTGATGAGAGGACACCGAAGTCATGCTCCTCAAGTGCTACTGCATACAGGAAACTAAAGGCATTTTACATTTAATTCTATCAAGCTGTATTAAAGCTCAATACAATTGCAACTGCTGCTATAATAGGAGACTGGGAACATGTTGAGAACAACACATCCCAATACTCTCTGAGAGAAAAAAGGTGCAGAACCCTATGTCCCAACCAGTGTTTCCTACACAACCTTTGCCCAGGAGTCTATGTACACTCCGATCTCTCACTGATCTGGCACAGAAACTGGAAGCACAGGAGGTGCTCAAGGCCAATGCAGAGCCTGCTCCCCTTACCACTCTCTGGATCAGATTTAAAACTGAGCACACTGGGAGAAGCCTTGGCGACAAGCAAGGTTTGCAACAGTGGAGAAAAATACTGCACTGCAAGTACAAACTCTTCCTCTGTACCCTGCTCAATCTCCCTCGTCCCTAGTAACTGGGACCACTGTGGATAGAAAGCAGCAGATATCATGGAACAAGAAAAAAGCTGCTGATTTACACCTAGATATTACAACAAATGAGAAACCCAGAGATGGAGCAAAAGGCTGTCACTTTAGACAATGCAGTGGAGTGCGGAGAAGGGGCTGAAGAGGATGTGCATCCACTCACACTGCTCTTTCTTCTCCTTCTAAATCCTGAAACCAAAACTCTGCCAAATTCCTATATAAAGCACAAATATCCCTATTGTCTTCCTTAATTTTGCTTTCACAGCTTCAGGGAAAGGAAGGAGAATAATATTACTTATATTATCATGGTGCATTCACTTGAAAGATTCCTTTATTCTTAGTCCTTAGGGTTGCAATAAGATCTCTTTAAACACTTTTTAATGCAACAAACAAAATTTACAGCAAAAGATTTCCCATTCTGAATCTTTGTAGCTGACACTTTAACATATAGTTTGCCAGAATTAAGGAATTCTGTTCTAATTGCAGAGAGACTAGTTTGTAGGGAGACTTCATGCTGGAATGGTTATGGATTCCCAGAACTAATTCTCTATTCAAGAGGTAAAATAGCTTAAATGATAAAAATAAATAAATAAATAAATAAATAAATAAATAAATAAATAAATATCTTAAAATACGAAAGAAAAAAACAGGATTGTTTGCTAATAAGGAGAGAGGGTGAATGTGTGTATGTATACATATACATGTATACATATATATAATTCATCTAAGTTGAGGACACATGAAGTAATGTTTCCTATTAATCACTACAAGAATTAACCATATAAAATTCCATCCTCATTTCAGCAGTTTCTGGTGGCGCACCATATTATCATTTAGTCTGGGAATCCAAAAACTCATTAATTTTCAAAGAGATCACCCCTATGATTTTACTGTGAGGTTTGATATCAAACAGCTACAACACAATCAACTGAAAAGTCAGGGGAAAAAAGATTGTGTCTCTGTAATTAGTTGTAAGTATTCTATGAAACATGCTACTAGCAGCTGCCAAGTCTAAGAAAAGCAGCAGCCTTGTTCTTGACCATGTTACTGAACTCAAGTAAAGCTCAATTCCACAAATTCTTACCAGAACTGTTATATTTTCTGCCTGTATTTGTGTCCAAAATACTTGTCCTCTAAAAGCACACTGCTATGAGGGCAGAACATTTGTAAATGCTGTTACCATAGAATACACTGAGGAGGAAGTAGATGAAATCCCATTCTGCATTTATTCCTGAGATCTATGCCACATTTTCTCAGAGATTTACATATGTCTTCTACACAAACATTGTGTAGGTCCTATGAGTTTCCCAAGACACTATTTTCTGGTAGAAATCTAGGGCAGAAAGAACTTCAAGTCTAACGCCCAAACCAAAGCACAGCAGCACCCGAAAAAGGTATTATGGCTCATGTCGCAAAACCAGATAATTTTTTGTTTATACACCAACATATTTCCTTTTCTTAAGGATTAAGAATGCCACACCTTTTTGTCAACGTCCTATTTAACCTATTAATTACACATGCCTCTACTGAAGGAAAACTAACAATGCAGACTGCATTTTCCCCTGACACCCTCCAACCTCCCAGTACGTTCCCCCACAACTCCTGACCTTGTTCTCATCTGCAGGTCCTTCAGGGACCACAGAGCTTACTGTTGCAAAAGTCATTTCTGAAAGTTTACAAGTACCAAAGACCACACTGACTCCAAGAGCATTAGCACATCCAGCTGAAAGTCTTTTCAATCCGATTATGAAGAGTCATCTGGATTATATCACCAAAAATAGATCAAGTGAATCCACCAGTAAAACATGCTGGATTGTCCCCCGCAACAATATCTTCTTCTTTGGCAATGTACCTTGTCTTTGGAAAACTAGTTTTTTAAGAAAGCTTGTTCTGCTTCTTGCCTACTACAATGAATTTAAGACACAATGCTAAAATGCAAGGGAATGATCTCTTCTTCCCATTTCTAGATCTTCTACGAAGACAGGAAGTTACTGCTACTCAGAGTCCTCCATCCCTCAACATGCACATCTGACCAGGCCTTCTCTTTGCCCTCTGACCTCTTCTTTATTACTTTTACTTGAGCTCCATATGAAGTGTGCAAACACCTTCCCATCAGTGTTTATTCTGGCACCTCCCCTCTCATCCTGTCACTGTTTAACTCTCCTGTTCACTTTATTCCCATTCCTCAGTTCAATACTTGCAGGACACAGGGTTTATCCATGCTATGGGAAGGCTGTGCTAAACCATCTGACCAAGCAGCAACTTTCTACACAGGAAACAACCCACACATCTCCACAATGGTGTGTGGCTACAACCCAAATATAACCCGTAATCTAGGGCTGACTGCCAGCAAGATCCTGGCTTTGAGAAAGCTTGATAAGGAAAGGTACACACCACACCTTAGATCTTTTTATGGGGTGTGAGGCAAGAAACCAGTCAACAGATGGAAATACTTCTGCTCAAACTATTATTAAGAGAGCACTTCTCATTTGTGGTCCTTTTCTACCAACAGAACTGTTGTTATTGTGGGGTTTTTTGTGTTATGTATAATTGTTATTATTATGGTTTCCAACTTTTTACCCTTCCCTATGTTAATTCTCTTACATCTTCATGCTGCAAAAGACTTAAAATTCACTTATTTGGTATTCTGATTGCTATAACCAAGTTTAGCTGGACATTTCACATCTCAAACTCTTAAAGTAAAACTTCAGTTTGTGGGGAAAAACTGGAAATACTGAGAATATATTGAGAAATATTGAGAAAACTTGCCCAGTTTAAAGGTCAGTTTTTAGGTCTGTATTTCTCAGATTAGCATATTAACCCAGCACTTTATATAAACCCAGCACTTTATTAGATCTACTTAAATGAACCAAATAAAGAGATGAACAAGTTTGTTGATTAAGACTCCACAGTTTAGGGAAATGGCATGTAAGTTCCTATTATCCTGCCAGGGTAGGCAAAGCATTAGAGTAATTCAATGTACACTCAGTTTTTCTGATTTGGGGTTTCCTTTGGTCAGTTTCAACCCAAGTTCATGCTCTCTTTTGACCAGAAGTTCCTGCTTCTTTCTGGCCTGAATTGAGAGATTAGCAGCAAACAAGGGCAGTTTAAGGAAGTCCTGGTCATTTCGGATGAGCAGCCTTGGGTGGGGGCAGGGTAGCCGCCACAAAGCTTTCTCTTCAGATGACATGTTCTGTGTCAGGCACTCAGAATGAGCATTTTGGTTATCACTATACAGTTGGCAAAGCTAAAGAAAAAAGGCAGTTGTTACAGTTCCGGAGAACAAGCTGTTACAGGATTGTAAGATCACTCCAACATTTGAGTAATGTACAGTGCTACAGGGGATATTTATTTTACAATATATAAGAAGAATCAAATTTAAGTACTTCCTGTTTCTCAGTGAAAAAGCCGAAGTGAGACATATTTCTTCAGTTTGGGTGAGAAAGCTCTTGGGCTTCTCCAAAGCGCTGATCATATATTCCTTCAACGTGAATTGAAAAAGAAAAAAAGCCCAGCAAAGTCTGGTGGTTATGGTGATGCATCACCACTTGATAGAGAGCTCCCGCACTCCTTCAGAAGAGGTAGGAGATGCAGGAATTGCCAAAGAGAAAACTGACCACTATTCCCAGAAGCCCCTGGCTCATCAGGTTCACCTGGGGGGTTGGTTTATTTCACACAGAGGTTCCCCAAGGGATGCACTTTGGTTTAAGATTTTAAAGAACAGGTCCACCAAAAAAAACACCTTTGTAACTTTGCTTTGCCACACCTGAAGTAGATCTAAGCTTCCTATATTTAAAATTACTCTGGGAGATTACATCTGGCATCAAGGAATGGAAAGCAGAGATAATAAAACTAGACTAGGATGTGTTGGGAGTCATGGCTGCAGGTATTTTGTACAACAGGTTACCAGTTAGAAACTAGTAGGGTTAAGCACCAGATGGATGCCACTGCAGCACAGCACATTGCAGCACAGCACAGGGGAGCAGAAGTGCAGTTAATATCTGCAGCTGTCAGATTTACATCATTTTAAATGCCAGGTGGAAGAGAGTAAAGGTAAAAGAGGGCAACTTTGGTAATCAGTGAAATTTTCAGTACTAAGGCTAAAGCAGATTTTAGACTATCCAGAGCTCCTACGTCCCCCTGCCCAAAAAGCAAATAGTCAAACTAAGCCAATTACTCCAGTCTTGCATAAGTTGTCTTTTTGTTCCTTATTATTTTTGCTGACTTTGTTTTCCTTCAAACTGCCTTTCTACTGAAGAAATAACAAATAAGGCAAAGCTGGTAAATGCATAGCACATGACATATTACCTACATGACACACTGAAGCTAATAAACTATCAGAATTAACAGCAGGTCAACTCTTACAGATTCCTAATCTGATAAGTTTCTTTTTACATATATTAATCACTAAGCTTTTCTTACAGATTTTCAAAAAGGAAGAGAAAGAAGTTACCAGACTTCACCAGTGTAGGTGATCCAGGTGGAGACAGGTTTATGCTAGGTGACAAGTAAAGATAATTTCTGTTCACTCCAGCATTGAAATCGAAGGGTGATTTGTAATCCTCATACAGATCCATGCCAGGCAATTCAGAGCGCGCAGCCATCCTCTTCTTCCACCGAAGCATTCATCTTCGCTTCCTGGGGCGACCCGGACAGCAGGATTCAGAAACCCTCCATTTCTTCACATGACATTCACTGTACCTCCTCTTAAAATTCAGCTCTGTTACATACGATAAAGCTCTCTAGCAAGTGACTTCCGAGCCATCTTGTAGCTGCTGCTGTTTACATGGCACGAAGTTAAATTCGTGTAAATTTGTAACTGGGGCTGCGCTTAACCTGACCGTTCCTTTAACAAACATTCACAGTGCACCTGCTCGTGGGTTCTGGAAGAGCCCTTGCCCTCTGCAGGACTGTTCCAAGAATTTTCAATCATTTAAATAAAAAAAGGTCAGCTGACTTCAACTACACCAGGATATCCTTAATCTTCTAGGACACAAAAGGATTACCAGCAGTAATCTATCCTATATACCATCTGTGTTGGACTTTTTCTTCTGATTAATGGAAAATTCTGCGTGCCTAACTATTTCTCCAGCTGCTTCCATCAGTGTAATAACCAGCAGTGAGAATCTAGTCTCTGCTGCCCAGGTATCACACTGCAGTGCAAGCCCAGAATAGGAAAGCAGCACTCCTGTCTGAAGGCTGGGCTACAAACACCACCTAGGTTTTTTGATGAACATGCTAATGTGCATTATGATTTTTGCCCACGAGGCTAAACATATCTGGTCTGAGGGGTTTTTTGAGGTTTTCTTTGTTCGTTTAAAAAAAAAAAAATATATTTAAGTGCACTGCCCTATGTCCTTAGTGCTTCAACCAGCATCATTTAGAACAGCCGATAATGCCAGGAACTGGTAACACTGAAATGCATCGCCTGATGAAATGCATTTATGTTTTGACATGCATACAATAAAGAAAGATCAACTTATATAAGCCATTTGACTGGGCAGAAATACTTTTTACCTAAAAGAGGCACTCAGCATAGTTTTGCAGTGCCTTTTTTTTTTTTTTAATTTTTCTTCCAAGGTCAGTTCTTTCACTGAAAACACAAGCTCACTAGCAGTGTAGATCACCTTTACAGCTAAGCAATGATTTCCTCCCTTCACACCTTCACCTGGGATCTTCACTGCAGCCTGCACACAGAGGAGCATAATCAAATGGAAGTTAATCCTTTCTTCCACCGTAAGAGTGATGTATTCAGACAGAGCTGATCAGAGACATTATTCCAGAGAAGCAAAAGAGCCTTGCAGCATACAGAAGTCAAGTCTGGGCAGTGTGTTCCCTGGGCATACAAGAAAGTATATCCCTTCTGAATTTTAACTTTCCATTTCCACTGCAGTCAGCAGGCACAGGAACAGACCTTCCAGCTAATTAAAAAGCAGTTCCTTTAGGCTGCAGACCTACATTGGCTTCTGGTGCAGACTACCTGCAGGCTTATAACAATGAGAGTGCTGGAGCCTGAAATACAAATCTCTGCTATTTTCCAAACCCACTGAAAAGAAAATGTAATGCCCTCCTGCATTTCTGACACGTGGCTGTAGCATCCGCCAGAAATACTGCAAAGTTCACCTGACAAAGGTCAAAGCTTTGGTCACAGATTCCAGTTAAAGCATCCAAAGGCAGCAGAGAGCTGTAACAAAGCTACAGTAATGATATACTCTATTAACCAAGCTCACTATTATGAATGGTTACCAATTCTGCTCTGCAGCTTTCTCTCGTGTAACTCAGCAGTCAAGGACTGCCTTCTGTCCCAAAGGCTCAGGCAGTAGTTGGCCTAACTGGGTTAGGCAAAATGACAAGTTATCAGACATGGCACACAAAGAGCTGTGTGTTTCTACCTTCTCTCTCCAGACACAGAAAGAGTCCCCTAGCACTTTTTCCCAACCCTAGAGAATCATTCAGTGTAATACCAGTCAGTGCTAGCAGGCTACAAGTGCAAGTAGCTCCTACAGGAAAAAAAACACTTATGAAGATCTGTTGATCCCTGCTAACAATCAAGAATACCCTTTCCTGGCCAAGGGCATTTACTGGAGCCAACACTTACATTCCTGTCTTTTTCAGGAAATTCCCTGCATTCAGCTTTACCCATTCAAAAAAATTCGGTACTGCATCTTTATTGCGCAAAAGTTATTTTCATGTCCCTATAGAGACATCTGGATTGCCAGTCTCAGACCACTGACCTGGCCTGGCCTGCCCCCGCTGCAGACAGAAGCGTGGATGGGCCAAATTCTCCAATACATCTTCAGTGTAGTCAAAGAGACACGCACAGGATGTGGCTCGCTGCTGGAATGTACATTTGGCTTACAGGGAAGATTTGCTGAATTACAAATCTGAGACTCCACACAAGAGGCTTTTGCCCTGACTTACCTGAGCACAAGCCCAGAAATCACCCAAGACAATCTCTAGTTTTTTGAAGTATTACTGTCCCAAGATCATTGCCAAAAGAGGGACCATGAAAGCATTTCTAACTTCCAGTTACCACCTTTGCTCAGACTAATCTTGTTTATCTGGTTACACAGACGGGGCGCTATAGCACATCCCAAACATATCACCTAAACACATCAGCCTCCTGCTCTCTTACCTGCAGGAGTTTATGGGAATGTTGCTCCTCACTTGTTCTCAACTACAAATCCTACCTCTGATGAAAGAAGGTGTCTCACTGAACAAGCTTCTTCCTCATCCCTTCGAGAAGTCTGATGGCCTTCACTCTGACATACAGGTCAATCCAGCTGTAAGGAGAATGAACTGCAGTCTACCTTTCCAGACCTGCTGTAGGGCAACTTCTAGGCTGTCATCCATAACTCATCCCCTTCAGGAAAGACAGTTACTCCTCTACCAGCCATAGCAGTTTATCTGCTCCTTCCCCAGTAGCTCCTTAGCACACCCAGAGATTCAGGGCAGAACAAGGCAGCACTCCCTCTATACTGACTAAAGGCAGTCTGTAGATAGGCCCTGATAGCTGTTAGTGTGGCGCATTTGGAGGAGGAATCAGTCTCCAAGGGACTTTCCAAATTAGAGTGATGGCCCAAGGAAACAAAGCAGGATGGGGATGACAAACAGTAGCCACACAGAAAAAGAAAGCAAGGTTTTGCTTTGCTGTGTGAAGCTTTTTGACCAGTTTAGCAGCTTTCAACAGTCTGAATATAGCTAGGCAATAACAGGAATGAAGATTTCTCTACAATACGAAAACTGCCCTGTTATGAGGCTTTTCTAAATGGCCGTACCATGACCAAAATATCCTGCTGGATGGGTTTCCTCTTCTTCATGTAATTCAGAGCACATGCAGCTGGCTGGAGGTGGACCCTGCCTACCCACGGCAAGACACATTTTAGAGCTGAAATTTAAGTTTAGGCTTCTGTTACACAGCTTTGAGTAGTTACTGTGCCTGCTCAAGTATCTTTGTTCTTTGCCCCTGCACCGCAAATTCAGTTTAATGTGTACCTTGGTTGTTACTGCAGGTACCAGCTGTGAGCCAATACCTGAAAAAGTCCTAAGGATGCACCTGCTCCAGAGACAAGTAGCAGGGGGGTTTTGCTTACTATGGAACAGATTAAAACAGAGGATATTTTTGTTCCAGAACAAGTGCTCGTTTGCCCTTAATGTCTCATGATAACTAAGAGGTTAGTACTTAAGCCATCTATGCCATTTTAGAGGCTGGTGTTGGAGAGACTGGCATGAAGGTAGATACCTTCTGTCAAGGATGCTTGAACCAATTACTGACAAGTTCAACTGAATGTCACGAAGTGGCTCAGGAAGGCTCACCAAGCCTCAGCAAAGCATTACCATCACAATTCCTACCATTAATCGTGTTGTAATCTCCTCTGTTAAGGCTAGAGAGTGTGCTTAAAGCTTTCCCAGGTAACTATTTAGCATCAACAGTCAGCACAGATTGTGCAATTCATGAATCATAAGGGAGGGAACTAAAAAAGCTGCTAAGTCTGAACAAACACTTTCCGCCAGATATTTGCCTGCCTAGTCTGAGACATTTCTCTTCCTTCAGATATCACTTGATATCCAGATCTGCAGTTTCCACCTGAGCTCAAAGCTCCAGCAAGTTTAAGCAAGGCAATATAGTATTTAAGCACTTCTACCTTAATGGTCATTAAGCAGGGATGTTATGGTAGCCTTGCAGAGAAGCTACTTTTCCCATATTTAGGTCTAGCAGAAGAGTAGTTTGTTCATACATGAAGAAGTTGTATCCCTCTTTCCCTAGAGAAACAAAACCCTGCTCGAGTATGACTGAATACCAATTCTGGGGTTTGAAGAAACTGAGCTATGTTTTCAGTAGCATTTCATACAAAGACTGAAATTCAAAATGGAAAGGCTGCCACTAATGCCTCAAGATTGGAGAAGTGCAGAGGCCACCCTAGGACATGATCCAAACAGTACTTTGGACAAATAATTACCTGTAACCAATCCACAAGGTCTGTACCTAATCTGAGTTCTGCTGTTCTGTTAGGCACCTTCCCATCTTGAATATCCTGCATCTGTGTCCTGTTTATGCATGGAGATGCCAAACTTGTGCCCCACAGTTCACACTTTTGGCAAGGCTATCATGACTCCAGCACTTAAATCAGCAAAACAGGATTTGTTGACAAAGAGGGGGAAGAGGTGAAAGAAGTGCTTGCTGTTTGGAAGGCGTAACAAAAAGATTTAATCTCTTCTTTCAAGATTGACAAATTAGATTCAACTGCCTGCTCAGCCTATAGTTGGTTTGAATTTCATTTCCCGCAGACTGATAAGAGGCAAGACTGACTGGAGATCTTCCAGTAACTGTGGCTGGGGCAAATTCTTCCAGTCAGGTCTTCCACCAGCCCCAGGTTTTACAGGTAGATCCCAATCAGCCAGCAACAGTCAGGCTCCTCTCCTCACTCTGAGTTTTATAAGGCATAAGCCATTTTAAGAGCCATAAAGCTACTTAAGCATCTTAAGCCAATCTAGGTTTTGCAGCATCAATTTGATCTTCTAAGTCTTACCAGTTTACAGACAAGTAAACCCTTTCAGCAACTGTTCCAAGGCCTTAAAACTGCATTAAGAGACAAAGATGCCATGAAGCAATAGGACAGAAGCACAAACACTAAGTAAGCCTGAAATTCATACGTTAATGCTCCCATTTTCACACTGTGCTCTCTCCCCTCCTTTTAACAGCAGGCAGCTCTTTCAGCCCCCAAAGAGCGTGACATGAATGGAGGTGCACAGCTACAGCAACTCCTGAACAGTATGAGCCCAGGCTTCTGCAGCCCTGTTAGTAATGGCCAGCAGAATGTGGGTTGCTGTCTTCTAGCAGAATCCAACTCAACACCACAGTATTAATCTCATTACTTCAGCCTCCTGCCACATGCTTTCTCTGGAC